GAGCACTCAACTGAGGATGCTTTATCGGAATTGGAGTCCCCTGCACCTGTTTTGAATGAACTTGTGTCTGAGGAGCCTCAGTCTGCTGATATAGCTCCCAAACATAAAAATACCATATTGGTACTGATGCAGTACACCCACATTTAAAACTGGAACAATGTGTAATTTATTTGCTAAAGCTGGTTCACTCAGAATCTTGTGCAGCTGTGCATGGTAGCCAATCAGCTTCTAACCTCAGCTTGTTCAATTAAGCTTTAGCAATAAAACCTGTAAGCTGATTGGTTTCTATGTATAAGTGCACAAGATTCTGAGTGAACCAGCTTTAGTAAATAAACCCTTATGTGTCTGATTTTACTCCTGTTACTAGTCTAGAATCCCTTAAATGTCCTAAAATTGCCTTTCCAGTACTACTAGAAGTTGTTTTTGTATGATGATTGGACTACTGACAAACTATTTCTCTTATGAATTCCCAAAAGAATCCACCAGGTTCTCTATGGGCACTCAATACAACTAATTTGTAGTCCTTCTATTTGATCTGCCTTCCGCACACTACGTTTTCACCAAAGTACTAGTCCCTGTTTTAGCCTTCTTGCACTCCCAGGACATTCCCATAGCAGCATATATTGATGACCTCCTAAGAGAACATTGAAACAGACTCTGTCAGACAATGTGCAATTAATTGTTCAGACTCTACAAAGGTTTGGTTGGCTTCTGAATTTTAATAAGTCAGCTCCCTAACCAACACATTTCTCGGAGTATCCAGATTTCGCTCTGGATACTGCTTAGTCCAGAGTTTTTCTTCCTCATGACGAATTCCAGACTTCTCACTCCAAGATCTGGCACTACAATCCAGGAGCCATCTGACTCCTCAGTCATGGGCTTAATGCTAGTCTCATTCAAAGCAGTCATATTTGCCCAATTCAACTCCAGACTATCACAAATCAATATTTGTGTGATACAAGAAAGTGCAGTCTCCCTGGCCTAGTGGTTCAAGAATCCAGCTCTTGAGTCAAGGAAATCTTTTCTTCCACAGTTCTAAAAGAGTCCAGGACATTCCCATATTCTGTAGCCCCGAGCAATCTGATTATCCTTACAAGGCTACACCCTTTGACTAATAGATTATCTAATCATAACACAGACCAACATCGCTACTGCAGTAGTCTACATCAATCACCAGGAAGACAACAGAAGTCTCTGTGGAAAGATAGGTGGAAAGAATTATGTCTTGGGTACTCCCCGATCCAGCCTTGTCCACCATTTATATTTCAGGCCTACAAAATATGGAGTCAGACTTCCTTAGCCATCTGTCCCTAGACCAGGGGGACTGGTCTCTTAACCCAGAGGTATTTTAGGACTTCTGCCACAGGTGGTAGACATCAAATGTGGATCTCCTGGCCTTAATATTCAACAACAAATTGACTTTGTGTCCAGATTCTTCTTATTATTATACAGGATTTCTATAGTGCCAACAGTTTGCGCAGTGCTTTACAATGTGACAGATGCAGAGTTCTTCTGGCAGTAGCAGTAGATTCTCTAGTGATTATGTGGGATCAGTACAATCTGTTCTACACCTGTCCTCCTCCAAAACACCTGTCCCAGCTTTTCCACAGACTAGAGGTAGAGGGCATTCCAGACATTCTCATGGCATCATTTTGGCCCAGGAGAATTCAGTACTACAATCCCACCAGAAATCAGATGCTCTGTGGGCTTCTAAAGATTGTTCAGGGCTCACGTCCCAAGGTCTTTTTTCCCCCCCAAGTTCACCATTGCTGATTTTGACAAAGCCCAGTTCCTAAGAGACAGGGACTTTTCTAATCTTGTAAATTTCATGCTTTAAAAAGCCAGAAAATACACCTCATGGGATTGAGTCTGGCTTTTATTCTATCCAGTCTAGGTCATCATTTGGTCCTGAGTATTATTATGGGGAAATTTTGGCTCTTGCCATCTTGTTGCAGAAGCTGCTTGCCATTCATTCCTTGATAAGAAACCATATTACAAGGTGTCAGCTATATAGTCCAACCTGTACAATTTCTAGTGACTCAGTAGGTTCTCAACATAGTTTTGTTGATATTTAAAAAAATAAAACTTTTAAACTTATAAGGGATATCCCCCCTGTTGACTCACATATAGAGTTGTTTTTCTAATTGCCATGAACCATAAGAGGTGTGTCTCTGTACTGACGGCATTGTGTTGTAAAGAACCCTTTCTATTTCTACACAAAGACAAAGATGTGTTGTGACCTAGAGCCTATTTTCTCTCTAAGGTTGTTTCTTCATTTAACCTTAAACATGATATTGTTCTTCCATGCCTTTGTCCAACCCTACTAAATCCAAAAGAAATCTCTTTACTGTTTGGATGTAGTTCATGCTTATCTTTTTATCTTCCCTGAGGGTTCCCATATAGGACAACTAGTTTCTCGTTCCATCATCTCTCAGTGGCTTTGAGAGCTCATTATACAAGTCTACAGGTGTACACATAAGGTTCTGATCTTTCTTATCAAGGTACACTCTACAAGATCCCTAAGTGCTTCTTGGACCTTTCAGCATTAGGTGTCTGTTTCTAAGATTTGCAAAGCCACCACCTTTTCTTTTCTTTATGTGCTCTCAAAATTTTACCAGGTGGATGTTCAGGATTCAGATAATGCAAGCTGTGGGCATAGGGTGCCCCAAACAGCTATTTGAGCTTCAGCCTGTCTCCAGGTAGTTTCAAAGTTATTATGTGAGCTGTAAGCATATTTATTGTTGTTCTGTTGCTCACCCCTCAGTTGGACTGATTTTGGATTTCCCAATTGTTTATGATTTTCTTTTGATCATGTGTTCCCTTTAAAGTGGTGGTAAACTGCAGGAAATAATTTTTTTTAAAAAGTTCCCTGCAAGGTAATGTCATAATGTGCTAGTATACATTGCAGGCTTCATCTGTGTTCCTTCCGGGTTCGTTGTCTTAAAATAATGAAGTCCACACAGAAACAGTTCATAGGACAAATCTGTTGTCTTATATCAATAATGGAGGACGTATGACCAGTGTATATTTATATATGTACTATTCGCGCAGCAACCAATAGTCCTTTTCCAGAGAGATGCATTTATTCGGATAAAGATATTTGTTACAGATGACAGAAATCCAGATGAATATTTGTAAAGATTACAACGAACAACAGCTCTCAAAGTCCCATTCAAGATACTTCATATCAAGCATAGAGATACTACACCATCCAGCATATGTCCAATCTATAATATGCAACTAGGTAGCTTCTATGAAACCTGTATTCTATCCCACATATCATGACCTGTGCTCTGCTATCTTTGTATTCCATCCTGTGTTCTGTGTCCTGTGTTAATATACACATTTTCCCCATTCAGTACAATGGCAAGCAGTCTGATTGGCCACTTTTAGTAGCATGTTTGATCTTATGTGTCTAGACCTAGAAACTTCCCTGACTCTCCATATATTTACCCAAAAACAGGTTAACCCAACACAACAAAGGTAAGGTAATTACCCCCTGCATACATTAACATAGTAAGGTGTCCTTTTGGTGTGAAAAGTGGTCTTATCACTGGCCTGTCAGTATGTGTTTCAATGTCTTCAATATATATATTACACACAATATACTACATTCGTGAGCTCCGGCCGTCTGACAGGCTGAACCGCGATGACATCACTACTGCGCATACGTGCAGAAGTCCTGGGCCACAGCACACAGCTCTGAAGGAACGGCACGGGTATGCCGTTCCTTCAGAGTGCATGCACCAGCCTTAATAAAGAGAGAATATCTCCTAAACGGTGCACATTTAGGAGATAGTCAATTTACCTACAGTTAAGTTTTATTATAAGTTTAGCTGTAGGTAAAATTAAACAAAACTAGTTTACTACCACTTTAGGAATTAAAAAGATTTTTGTACCCACAGTAAAGTCAGGTTCTTAGATTTCTTTAAGGGTCACAAGTCCCACCCTCTGTGTTTGTTATCTATTCTTTTCAACAAAACTGAAGGTTCATGGCAGTGGGAGGGATTATATGAGGCTAGTTAATGGTCTTTTTGTTTGCCAGTCTCTAATTCCTCCTAAAAGCAGCAGTATTTTATTCATTTCAGATCCTGTGTCCCTTAATGAATACAGAGATTATACTGTGAGCACACAAATCCCATTATTACCACAAATTTTACCAAAAATTCAGGGGATTTCAGCAATATTTTACTATTTTGGTGAAATGCATTGGAGTCAATGGGGAAGGTGAAGTTTACCTGTTTCTTTTGGTACTTTTTAATGGTTGCAACAGGCTTTAAATAGCTCCTGAATGTTATGGAAGCCATTATCAATAACCTGGCCATAAATGCCCCATATCAGCTGCTTTATTTTACCTATTTTAACAGATGAAAAAAAAATAAAATATTTAAAGTATCTGTGCACACTTAACTATGAAATAAGCAATTAAAGGAAAAAGCATAAATACAAATAATACTAAATGAAATAAACGAATCCAAAAATATACCCAAGTCCCCAACTTAAAAAAAATGCCAAAAAATTAATAAATAATCAGTTAAATCATGTTTGCCAAACTCTTTCTTCTGTCCTTGTAGTATGTGCAGTAAATGGGTCAACCTGTTGTTGCACCAAAAGAGTAATCAATACATGCATTTCTGACATTAAATTATAGAAGAAAATTAAATTGCTCAGAACTGCTAAATTTGCTGAAAAATAGCCAAATCTACAAATGGGAATCAACATACTATTATAATTTGGAGTCAAATTGGGATTTAAAGGAATAGCTAAAAGTTCTTGTTAGCTGTATGAAGATCTGTAGCTATGGAATATCACCAGCAATCTCTTGACATCTCTCCCCTTTCTTTATCCTGATGCTGTACCTGGCAGTGTGCTGGAAGAGTCCCTACTTAAGTAAAAAAAAGTCCAGCATGTATTCCTTATCTAGGCACATCCTATATCTAATCAACACAGTTAAACTAATAAAAAATCATTTTGCCATTCTTTGACTTATGTCTGACTAGATCAAAGCTGGAAAAAAAGAATTTGGTCCAATTTGTGGAGATAAATCACCAGGAAGAATAGAAACTGGGAGTAACAGTGTTCAGATCTTGTTTCACAGTGATGGTTCTGGGGAAAATGGAGGATGGAAGTTATCTTACACAGTCACAGGTAAGACTCCTTAAACTTAGCTGATGTGTCAGCTCTGGAGAGTTTATGAAGTTGAGTATTTTTGTTGCTATATCTCAAGTATCCAAGTATCTGTGAATGAAATATGTAATATGTGCATACTGTATATTCATCACAACCTGTAAGTATGAACAGATAGTTATTGATGACGGTTGGCAAAAAGGGAAGGAATCACCAAATCATTGGAACTTGTCATTTTAGGTGTTGCATGCCCTGAACTTCAGGAACCCGTGAATGGGAAGATTGAACCTTCTCAAACAAAGTACACTTTTAAAGACCAAGCTGTGATTACATGTAATCCTGGATATCAGGTTCTAAGGGTGAGTAGTATTTATTAAAGCCTTTATTTAAATAATCCAGTAAAATAGTGGTGGCCTACCAGGGAGATTTTCACTTATGCACTGCCCTAGTGATTATCACCATCACTGGGACTGGAAGTGAAGGTAATCTCCCCAGTATAAATGCAGATAACAGTAAACAACTGACACAGGTTCTAACCTTTTTCTAAAGAAAAGATACAACAATAAAACACCGTCTGAAGTTGTATGCCATGTTCACTCAAAACCAAATTTGGCTGTTTCTCCACTTATTACCTTTTAATAATCAGAAGATATTGGCCATGCTCCCAGACTAAGGGGGGTATTTACTAAAACTGGAAAGGAGAATGTCGCCAGCACACCGAGGATCACCAATATGGGTCCAAAAGTGTTAATGAATGATCACATAGTTACATAAAAGCGTGTGACACACAGCATCTGGTGCAGCTGTATATGGTAACCAATCAGCATCTAACTTCAGCTTGTTCAATTCGGCTTTGACAATAAAACCTGGACGCTAATTGGTTACTATGCACAGATGTACCAGAATCTGTGTGTACCAGTTTTAGTAAATCTCCCCCTAAATGTCTTAATAAATGTAACTGTTGTGTTTATTGAATGTAGCATATAAAGGGAGTTACCAGCACTTATTTATTACATAGAAATGTATAACTCTTTAATACATTTGTTGACTCTTTTGCCAATAGAGGATTAGGATTCAGACTATATTTCTGAGTTCAAATTGAATTAGGCAGTTTTGTAAAAGTTTGCTTATTTCTTCCTTGTAAATAATACTGAGATTGAACAATCATGTATTAACAGTCATACTAACGATGTATTTATCTCTTGTGTGTATGAGTCAGTTTATTCAGGAGTCAGAACTACTTGAAGTGTTACTAAACCCCAGACCCTGCATTCACTATATCTGATCTCCCACAGTACACAGAAGATGGAAGTGGCATTATTTTAGTAAATATAACCTGCTAAATACCTTTTCTCATCAGCAGTTAGAGCAGTCTTGTGACTTCTATCAGTGTCCAGCAGAGCACTGGTTAAAGCTTATAGGAGGAGTTTTCTTTCTGCTCTAGGAGGATGCCAAACCCCTGACCTCTGTCTGGACAGTGCTGATTGGCCCTGTGCTGATCACATGCACTGTCCCAAGAAAAAAAAACCTCTCTAACAATACACACCAAACTGAGCAAGTGCAGAATGGCTACAAGTTCAGTCTGTCTTATCAGGAGATAAGATGTGGACATTTGAACAAGAGGAGGAGCAGAGAATAAAGAATCAAATGGCCTTTTTACACAATGCAGAGGAATAACCCCTTAGGTTCCACAGTGAGTATAACAAGCATGCTTTACTGCATATACTGACTGATTTTACTGTTGTGGGTTTAGTAACACTTTAAACCTCATACACATGAGAATATCAGACAAATGATCGTCTGTTTTTTTTTTTTTGCATGCTAGTCTTGAAAACGAAAGGGGTTACTAAAGTTACACAAATTCTTGTACAACAGAACACAACTTCAATAGTGATATAATGTGTTGTACTGTATTGTAATGTATTCTTTTGTTTCCGAGTCTGCAAGGTCTTGGTCACCCAAATTTTTTATGAATACTGTACTGATTAAACGAAAATTGTTTAGTTCTGGTATCGTACTAGAAAAATTTGGTGTTTGTCCCATCAGATAATTTCACATGAATTGTTGTGATCGGCTCTTGAAAGCTGTGTATTAACGATCAGATTATCAGATGATCGCACAGAAAGTGGTATTTCTCATCGTGTGTACTAGGCTTTACTCAGCAAAACATTTTCAGTTTCAGGATGCTAAATGTTGTCATTCTCACCTAGGACAATGTTGAGATGGAGAGTTTCCAGATTGAGTGCAGGAAAGATGGAACATGGAGTAACCAGGTCCCAAGATGCCAAAGTAAGAGACCACAGATTCTGCATATATTCATGAATGCTTTTAACACCTTTGTAAAACTGGACAGCTTGTGGTAATTATATGCAGCACAGAGATGATATCCTAGATTATATAATCATATTTGCATTCTAATTTATTGTGTCATCCATAGCAACCAATTAGATCCATAGACACTTTTCCTTCTCTAGCATTAAAAATTGACTTACCTTCTGGCCTGGCTGTATGGTCTGCTGACACAATTTATTGGAGTGCTACATTTGTATACTCTTTATTTTGTTGTCTTTTGTGCCTTTTATTTTCTTTTACTGTCTAAAAGAAAATCCTTTAAAGTTGTACTCTGGTGGTGGGTTTTCTGCATGTATCCTGTTTGCATGAATTTTAATTTCCCTTTCCTCTTTTGTCTCTTTCTTTCTACAATCTACAATTTCCCTCTTACTCCCCCTGTTCTTACAAAACTGCAGAGATGGATATCAGGATGAGCTGAAGACTGGAATAAGAACAAGCTGCGGCTGGCCTATTATTATATGCTCCAATATCTCAGAACACTTTGTACACCTCTTATAGTAACAGCACAAGACAAACGTGTGTGTGTGGCACAACAAGCTACCAAAGGATTTTTTCAATAAGAGTGTGGCCCTGCTAAAAATGGCCAGCTCCTGCTTCAATTTCAGCCTGTTGCTCTCATTAAGTACTCACAGCACATTTGCCAGAGGAAGCAATTATTATTACATAGCCTGGATGGCCTGTCTGCTGACTGACTGTCCTAATAAAGTGTCATTTGCATATCCCCAGCATGATTTTTAATAGTTAAACAGCTTTCCTTCTGAAAAAGAGTGAAATATTTATATCCAAGCACCTTGACAATAACCTAGTCTTTGGAAATACTATATGTGTGTTCAAGACAATTTGAAGCGCTTTTGGACAAACAATATTTAATAACACGGAGACAGTATTGGTGTGCGGTAAATGTGGGTTATTTCCACACACTTTTGCTCTTGGTACAGACTGTTTTTTTAAGTTACAATATTATCATTGTTAATATTATGGTTTTTAGAATATTTTACTCTATTTATACAATATACACGCTCCACGTTGCACATTTTTGTTTGTATTTATCAGTAATTTCAGATATTTCTATAGATCTCACATGTGTTCAAATAAAATAATGCATATACAAGTTAAAAAGAATAGCCTGTGTGAAGTGCATCTTTTATCAATGATTAGTAAATGCTACTCACTGTAAAATGTTAACATTATTGCTATAACATATTTATAAACCATAATTATTAATATAACTACAAGAAAATGTCCTGTATCTGAAGCTTGTTTCTGTTGAAAACAAGAATGTTATTCCTTTTCCTTTACTGGGTACTAATTACATTGCACGAACTGCTGGTCTACAAATCATTTGTAGGAAGGAGTTTTAGGTAATCCGCATAAAGTCAACCAGCTCTTAAAGCAGTTGTAAAGGCTATTAATTTTTATTAAGATAATAAACATGGTTTACTTACTTGTTATGTGCAAAGGGATTGCAAACAACTGCAAACCTCCTCTTCTGGGGTTCCCCACCAGCACTGTCTCTGCTCCTCCTCTTCTCTGCTTGCTATGGGTGCAGACATGCAGGCTTGCTCCTGAGCCGGGCTGTGTGCATCCATAGACACACAAAGTTCATCCTGCTTCCACTCCTTCTTTGCAGGATTTGATTGACAGCAGCAGGAGCCAATGGCTCCCCCTGCTGCCTCTGTATTCTGTGAGAATAGGAACACAGACCTGTTCTGGATTGATATAGGACTCTGGTAAGTATTTACGGAGGTGAGGGGACTATACAAGTAGTGGGACATTTTTAACCTTAAAAAGAAGTATGGGATTTAATTTTTTTTTTAATCATACTTACCTAGGTGGGTGCAGAATCGGTCTGATGCTACATCTGTCCCCTTCCGGCTCTAAGTGTGAGAAGTCAGTGATCACATGACCGCTGATTGCTGAGTTCTCACAACTGCTCTGGGCAGAGAGCAGTGGCTGTCAGTCATGGCTGTCTGCTCAGCAACCCCCCCCTCCATGCTCACTGGAGCACTTGGCTGTAGAGGGGGAGGGAGCTGCTGGCTCAGGCTCTCAGAGGATCTTTGAGAGGCTGAGCCAGGTGCCGCTCCAGACTCTAACTTTAAAGTTGGGATCTTTCCCCAAACAGGACTGGCTGAATGACGTCAGTCGACAGTGTGCTTCAGCCCGCTGACAACTGAAAACAAGTCACAGGAGTGCAGAACAAACTGTACTCCTGTGATCCACAATAGAAGTCAAAAGAACTTTGGCTGTACTTCTCCTTTAATGCAGGAAATGTATTAACCTCTTCCTGTCTGCCCATTGCATATAGATGATGGTTGGGAAGCTTTGCCGCTGTATGCTAGCATATCTGTACGTCGGCCCGCATTGGCGGCTCCTGCACGGACACAGTGGATCACATTAGTGCTTTGTCCAGTCGATCACATGGTGTTTTAGCATGTGACTGCTGTGACCAATCAAAGCACTCACATTGTAAACAGTGAAAAGTGAAACTAAAGGTTGCTTCTCTCTGCCCTCAGTGTGAGACTAGAGAGAAGCAATCCTGTAGCCATGATTGTACAGCAGTCTGTCAAACAGATTGTACACTCACAGACTGCTGTGCCAGCCACCCCAGTATCCCAGTTTAGTGCCCCAGTGTCTCTGATCTGTGCCCAAGTATTTTCATAATAATTAATGCAGCGAGCCCCTGTCACCTGTCCCAGTGTGCACAAAAAGACCTCATATACCAATGTCCTGATCACTGCCATACTAGTGCCTATCACCGCCATACCCAAACCAACGCCCTGAGCACTGCCATACCCCATAAAAACACCCTGATCACCACCATATGCCATACCCACACTCTGATCACCACCATGCCAGCACCCTGATCATCACCATACCCTATACCAGCATCCTGATCATCGCCATACCCTATACCAGCATCCTGATCACCATTATGCCCTATACCAGCATCCTGATCACCGCCATGCTCTATAGTAGCATTCTGATCACCCCATATGCCATACCAGCATCCTGATAACCACCATACCCAATAACAACATCCTGATCACCACCATAATCCATACCAGCATTCTGATCACCGCTATACCCCATACCAGCAGCCTCATCGCTGCCATACCCCATACCAGCATCCTGATCACTGCCATACCAGCATCCAGATCACCCTCATACCAAATGCCAGTGTCTTGACTACTGCCTTACCAGCATCCTGATCACCACCATACTTCATGCTAACATCCTGATCACTGCCATACGCCATACCAGTGTCCTGATCACTACCATATGTCATGCCAATGTCCGGCATTTTAGGGTCTCAACTGATCAATTTTCAAATATATATCCCACAGTTTTTAGACTCTATAGTTTTCACGCAGACTAAATAATATACAGTTTTGTGTTATTTTTACCCAAAAAATGTAGCATAATACATTTTGGCCTAAATTTATGAAGAAGAATAATTTATTTGCAAAATTTTATAACAAAAACTAAGCAAAAAATTATTTTTTTCAAAATTTCCGGTATTTGTTTTTTTATTTATAGCAAAAAAATCCCAGTGGTGATCAAATACCATGAAAAGAAAGCTCTATCTGTCTCAAAAAAAGGATAAAAATGTCATATGGGTACAACGTTGCATGATTGAGTAATCACTCAAAGTTTGATGGTGCTGAAAGCTGAAAATTAGCCTGGGCTGGAAGGGGGTGAAAGTGTCCAGACTTGAAATGGTAAAAGTTAAAACGTTTAGGCTTTAAAACAAACTGTGGGGATACAAACAAAACAGCATACATACGCTCCTCCCTGCTGGAACATTGGTCTGATACTGTAGCTGTCCCCCGCCAGCTCTAAGCCTGAGAATTGGGCGATCACATGACCACTGATCGCCGAGATTGAGAGAGTGTTTGTAAACCCTAACCTGCTTGCTACCTTTTGTTCTGTAAATATATTATTGAAAGTGTTTTGTTATATCTGCTTCAATAAGTGCATAAGTAATTCCTTGGACCTGTATTTGTAGGGTTTTAAAGGGCTTAAACACTGGTAAATGTGCATGTATTGCAGAGATGTGGGGCAATTGTTTATTTTGGCCTGACAAAATTAGCTGTGTGAATGACTCAAGCATTTGCTCAGCTGTCATAAAAAAAAAATCTTATTTTCCCTAATACTTTTATTTTCTATGATCATCAGTGCCATAATTCTGTATTTTACTCATATAACTCAATCAGAAAAATACCACATTGTGGCCACCAGCTGGAGTTAACAATGTGGGATTATTCCCTGAGTGAAAGCTTGGGATATTCACACAGTTACGGTAATTTTTTTTTACAAATAGACTCCTCTAAAAGGCTAAACAATGCATACCATATGAGCTTTAAACACCTCTTTTTAATGGCCCATGCCACACTGTGGTGTGACTGAGCTGCTTTCTGTCCATCTTGGTATTTAAACTAAATTTACAAAATTAGGAGATTTAAACTGGGAAGAAAGGAGCCAGAACTCAAACTGAGAAGCTCATTTAAACCAACTGGTTTCCAGAAATCTATCTTAGAATTCCTTAGTGACCCTGCTGTGGATTCCAGACAGCTGATTTAAAGAAGACTAGAAGATTGGAGAGTGCTGCTGGACACTACTTGCCTATTTCAGGGGATTAACATATTCAACAATTCCTTATCTGTGCAACTTTTCATACACAGTTCATGACAAACAAGGTGCCTTTGACAGACAGCAGAGTTGACATGCATTTTATCCATTTCAGGTATTCAAACTGGACTATGAGGCTGATTTACTAAAGTATTTGTAAATGTTAGCTCTATAAATTCTGTGAAGATTATTTTTAATTATCCAATCATGCAGATTAAATAAATAAACAGGGATTTTCTTTTCATATGATTGGATAATTGAAGTGAATCTTGACACATCTATGATTCACTAGAGGAGTTGAGAAGTTTCACTCTAAAAAGTGTGTGAATATTCACTTCATGTATCCAAGCATGGGAAAAGTAAATCTCTGCTCACTTTGGTTGCCAAATCATGTGCATATACTTTTCACTTGATTGGATAATTGAAGTAAATATTTTCACCATTTTGAGTGAAGATCCACAAAAGTAAATCAGCTGAGTACTATCAGCGTATATATTTTTTCAGGATCCATGCAAATACCGGTGTGAAGAAGGATTCCCAGATTACATCCTAACATTTGATGTAGAAAAGTTTATTCAGCTGAATGAGTCAATGCACTCAGTAATTTATCAGCCTTGCTTTATGTTGTAATAAATTCAAATAAATGGGAACTTCCGCATCTGATAAAGGTCTGAAAACTACTGATGTCAGCATTTTTACACAAATGCTTAATAGGACACATTATCCATATACTTGTATTCTTAGCCTACTGAAGATGCCAACTTAAAAACAGCATGAGCACAAATTGAGCCTGTTTTGAAGTAGTTTGCCTCACGTAGAACCAATTTACTGAAAGTGTTCCAGCCCAGCAAACCTTCATGTCCTTCTAATACCACTCCAGTTAAAGATCATTTCATTCTTATATTCTGTTTACCTGATTGATTTCAGATAAAAAAAGTTAGCTGACCTGGCGGTAGTTTATTAAATTAGTCTTTTAAATTTCTCCTCCAGAGTAGTTTGTGAACATGTCTCATCCTTAAACTACCAGACTGGGTTGGTCATATGTACAGAGGTTATGAGATGTCCTTCATACAATTAAAAGTTGTTGTCCTGTGCAGTGCTTAATCATCCACAATGCACCCTAGACTGGATTCAAGGGACCAGTTGACGTCTAGGAGGCAAACTACAAATGTATCCAGCAGTAAACCAAATGGATCGTGTATAATTGATCAAAGTCGTGCACCTTTACAAGGAGAATGGCTTTAAATTTCTGATGGTGTGGGTCATGCCAACAATGCAAATTCGGCAGCTTCTCTGTGCCCATTGCAAACCTTATCAGCCATTTAAAGGAATTGGGGACCACAGCTTCTTGTGTGCCTAGGGCCCCATTCTGCCTTAATTTGTATCTTTTTTTTTTTTTACTGTTAAAGCTTTTAGGACCACTATATTCATGTCCCCCATCTCTCATTACCAGATAAGAAATTTTATATTTTATTTAAATATAAAGAATATAATTTATTAAAATTATAGCACGTAGGCTTAAACAATAGCAGATAAAGGCCAAATGGTTCATCTAGTTTTCCCTATTATTTGATATATGTACAATGTTGAACCAACATTAACTGACCTGATTTTGCACAAGATTCATTAGCAAAGGAGAAAGAAGTGTTTCTCGCTTGCAGGAATAACTTTGTTTTATGGTAGTGATGCAGAAATTGGGCTGTCCGTATATATAATGTTTCTGTTGGAACAGTGATTAATTTACTACTGGGTATTCCACTAAAGGCTAATTATTGCACCAGCTGTGACTTTAATGAGCTGAAATATTGTCCTATTTAAAATATTCCAGTGGACTGGCCAGGTAAGAAGTGTTACAGAAGGAATCATATCTTTTATTTTTAAATTTTAAATTGAGCAGCAATGGAATGGTTACAATCATCTAACACAGAGATTGTTTCACTTTTCTAGTTGTTGACTGCAAGTTGCCAAAAGAACTTGAAAATGGATTTATGACCTTCACTACATCAGAAAATACTACCACATACCAATCAAGTGTTACATATTCCTGCAGAGAACCATACTACACAATGACCCCAAACATTACTGGTGAGAGACTATAATGAAACTATAATTTCCATATTTTTAAGAGTATTGTGAAATACAAGTGGTATAGGACCAATACAATTATCATATGCAATACGAGATTGTATTCAAGAGCACACTGAAAACAGCCCAACAGGGGTGACCATTAAGAAAATGTCCCTTGCAAAAATGGTACATAGGCTAGGGACCAGGTAACAGGAATCAATGGGAAAGGTGAAATTGGGGGGGGGGGGGGCATTTAGAGGTTCAATCTGCTCATCATTGCTGCTTATATATGCAGTAAAATCTGGATATTCAGTCGTTGAGAAAACAGTTTGTGATATTTGGCCATGTAAAATTTTGTTATTTATTATAAATTTTAATGATGATGGTATTAATAGATTTTCTGTAAATAAAAATGTCATTTATTTATGTTGCATTCATTGCAGCTGTTTATTCCTGTAAAGAAAATGGAGAATGGATAAACTCAGAAATTGGAACCAAGCTTCCTGTATGCCAGCCAGGTAATTACTAAATACATAATGTACTGTAAAAGGTATCTAATCATCATAAATCTGTTTTATATTGGTTTTGGACAATGAATCTCTGGTGCAAAGCAAAACAGACTTTATGTAGAAAAAACACATTAAAAACATTGTGCAGAATGTCGTTGCCTAGGATATTACATTGTTCAAGTATGCTAATATGGACAATTCCTACTATTTTTTTTCTTATTATTATTACTCAAATTCTTTATGTTTTAACGTTAGGTATGCTCTCTTTAAATACATACAGGCAGAAATTAAACCCCCATCTACCAAGCACTGTGATAATCACCTTGGCAGTATGTGTGTGGAAAGACACAGGGGAAATATAGGGTGTCTGTGGTCAGTGGTATCCCCAGGAGAAAAGTCAGCCAGGATGGTTTACATGTACCACAGACTTGACATGGTCACCGCATCGAGCCAAAAACAGCTAATCTCTTCTCTTCTCTCATGATGTAAATCTAAACATGTCCAGTGAGCTCCAGGTAGCATTCTTCTTGCTTTCTCTATTTTTTGGTACTGGCGTATAAACATATTTTCTTACATGTGGGTTGCTTGATTTTTTTTTTTTTTAACTTCTATTCTCCTGCTGCAAAATACTTTGGAAGCCGGTAAACTGGTTTTATGAGTGTCCCTGTTCTTAAGTCCTCTATCGTGCAAACTGTTTTCAACATATAGGTTGCAATTGCTTCAAGTTGTCTGGCTCTCTCTGGCTTCAACAGCTATCTGAAGGACCAGGTCACACTAGTGCAGGCCGTTTGGCCCATGTTTGCACGGGCGCAGCAGCCTATTCATTTGTACCTGCATTTCACACAAGGAAAAAGGTGCATGCACTAGTGATTGCACTACGGGATGAGATACGGGTGAGGGTGCCATTCAGAATGAATGGCACCCCCCCGCATCTCACAGGAGAAATCTGATTCAACTGCCAGTGGTTGCAGGGACAGGTGCAATACCTGCACCCGCAACCAGCCCGCAGCCGTGGGGCTAGTGTGAACCAGGGGAAAGTGCATGCAGTGAGCGTAGACAAAGTGAAACCAGAACTCTTGAGGCCTGACCCCCATACAGGTCAGCGAAGATAATGGTACATTATGCCAGCCAGGCAACTAGCATTTCAGAAAGAAAGGTCAGTATTGACAACCTACTGTACATCTTTCTCTCAGGAAAGGTGACCTATAACATACATTTATTGTAAAGTTAAAACCCTTGTTTAATATCAGATGTACTAAAACTGGAGAGTGCAAAATTTGGTGCAGCTCTGCATAGAAACCAATCAGCTTCCAGGTTTTATTGTCAAAGCTTAAATAATCAAGCTGAAGATAGAAGCTGATTGGCTACCATGCACAGCTACACCAGTTTCTGAGTACTCCAGTTTTAGTAAATTTTCTTTTTTCCAGTATTAAATTAGTAAAAAATAGTTGCAAGACAAATGCTACAGACATTTGTGAATCAACATAGTAAATAAATCAGATATGGTTTTATTTATTTAATACAATAAGAAAGAGTTGATAATTGCAAATGGGATGAAGGTAAAGGTGGGGAGAGCACTGCAATCAGCATTTGCCTTTAATCAATTTAGAGCAGCTGGACTAGATAAATATGACTGTCAATCGGTTACTAGAAAATTATCACTCTTGAATATTGCCCCTTGCTCTGTATTGGTTTATGTGTTTATAATTGATACAGAAAATTCAATAAAAAAGTTGTTCAGTCATAGGGTAACACAAATGACACGAAGGCACACATGTTTAAAGCATAAATCCTAACAATGAACTTCTCTTACTTGTTCCCTTTTGATCTATTATACACCATCAAAAGTTTGATAAGTGCTAAAAAATACCTATTGACTGCCTGAAATCTTGTGGGCTGATAACTTCCTGTACCGCTACATCAGTTATATCCAAGATATCTATATGGACTACGAAATACCTTGCCCTTTGTTATCCTCTTCCCATCCGCCCTGTAGCAGAAGTGCTGCTACAGGGCGGCACGGGTGCACAAAATCATGTATATATACATGATTTTGCATTTCCAGGTAGGGGGCACACACAAGGTGTGCGTGTGTCCTACCCATACTGCCATTCGTGGCCGCGGCTTTCAATCACCGGGTCCCAGCTGGTGATTACTCGCTGGCACCCAGTGATTGCCCGGTGATTGCCAAGCATCTCCAACGGGGGGAGAACTGTTAGTAAACAAAGCAGTGTGCATACAGTGAAGCACACAGACACAGTCCCTAATAAAACAGCACACAGCACACTTTTTTAACCCTTTTTATTAGCACTGATCACTGTATTGGTGTCACTAGGGATGTCAGTGACACCAAGTCAGTTACCCCCAGTGTCAGCATGCCTGTCGCAGTCTTGCTATAAGTCGCTGATCGCAGCCATTACTAGTAAAAATAACAAATAAACGCAAAAATCCCAGTATATGTACCGCCATTTGTAAACACTATAACTGTCACGTAAACCAATTAATTTACACGTATTGGCATTTTTTTTAGCAAAGACATGTAGCAGAATACATTTTGGCCTAAATTTATGATGAAATTTGATTATTTTAAATTTTTTTACTGGACATGTTTAATAGCAAAAAGGCTAGAATATAGTTTTTTTCTCTAAATTGTCAGTCTTTTTTTTATAGTGCAAAAAATAAAAACCGCACAGGTGATCAAATACCATCAAAAGAAAGCTCTATTCATGGGGAAAAAAGGACGTAAACTTCATTTGGGTGCAGTGTTGCATGACCGTGCAATTGTCAGTTAAAGTAATGCAGCGCCATAACACAAAAAATGGCCTGGTCAGGAAGGGGGGTAAATCCTCTGGAGGGCAAGTGGTTATGGTGGGGGGGGGGGGTGTTCTGCAGTCCTGAATTAATGACAGTACTGCTCCTCCATAGTAACAGTAAAGTGCAGAAGTGCTGTTACGCTAGGACAAGAGGTGTGTTGTCTGAGTTATCAGGTGGAAATAAAGGAAATAAGCCTGAATACGAAAACTTGAACATCACTATTGTATATTTTCTTGCAATATATTGTTTTTTTCGAAAAAAAAAAAAAAAAAAATCTTATTGTATCTTACATTTATGACCATTCAAAATGTAACCGCTACTTTAACTCAATGAATAATAACATTTCAAGTACTTTAGGAGTATATGACTAAACTTTGCCTGTAGATTCCACTGAACAAGTAGTGTCAATGATGCCAGAAGCTGTTTTTCTCAATTACTTCAGCAGCATGTGAGTGGCTGGTGCTAATAAACCATTAATGCACAATGTCTAGCAATTCCTGACACAATATTGTCCCCTGAGATATCCAAGCATTTCTACTTCAGACAAATGAGAGACCATATTTTCCAGATATTTTTGGTGTCCATGGAAACCTTACTGTCGAATAGATTTTGGGGCCAAGAATGCTGGAACATATTTGTGGCTGAGATGTGTATGGTCTGGCATTTAATGTGTGGTTACAGCTTGCTACATGGTTTATGAAAGCCGCTTTAGCGTGTTGTGTCTGTTGTATCATTTTCTTATTGCAATTGTCTTTTTTCGGATCATTTCTTCTGGTGACAATGGAGCATAAAAACTACAGTCAAAGAAGATCATCCATGCATGACTCAGGGTTTGGGTTCTGACAGGGATTTTGAAGAATGTCGTTTGTAAACACATGCTGTTATTGTCTTTATACTGACAATCATTTCCTTAGAAATCAGAGCTTTTGCTGGGATGGACCACTGAATCCAATAGCAGGTATTGAAGGTCTTAGGTGTGCAATGATGTATTATGCCCATGATACATCATTGTGGATGGATTATGCCAGGATAAACATGTCAAGATCAAGAAAAAACTTATTAAAATATAAACACAGAATTCTATAAGGATGCTTTATAAGCCAAGAAAAATATCTTTCCACGTGGCTGTGTATAACTTATATTAAATTAAAAATCAATGGAGCAGCTGTTTGGTCAGAAAAAAAGTGTCTATTGCTTAAGACAAACACTATCGTTTACTATAACTTCTATAGTTTCCACTATAATGTCAGTATTTAGGAATTTCCCAGTTAAAGGGGATTTCCTTGCTACTTTCCATTGTCTCAAAACAAGCAGAAAATCTGTGCCATTGTGCATAAGCACACCATTGGGGCAGGTTCCTTATGTTCCTATTGGAAGTGAAACTGCCTTTTTAGGAAGATAAGAGTTAACAAAATTATACAGTACCAGATTGTTAGCTAGAAGCGTGTCAGTATTTTTATTCAGATATTTACCATTTAAGATAAAAGTACAGAAAATTCAGTTACTGCTCTCCATTGAAATACTTTGCTGATTTCAAAAAGGAATATCAAAATATATAAATAATCCTATGTCCATGTGGTTTTTAAATTGAACAAAACCTGGCATAATCTATTTAACACACTACTTACTATGGTCTTTAGTCCTTTAACACTTGCTAATGTTACTTTTTCCCTTTCTGTTTCTATGTCCTGTCAG